TTAATGTTAACGTAAAATATTATTTTTGTTACATTGTGGTGCTGTTCTACAGGACATGTATTTCGGAAATATACCTATAGTAAATTTTCCAGTCAAGTATCATGTAAGAACCTTTGAAAACTAGGGCTACGCAGTGTCTTAGTAAGCCAGGCATTCACTGCACCTGACGGTTCTATAAAGAACGCAATGCGACGCCGTGCGTGCAATGGATTGTTTTTAATGACGATCCTTTCAGACTACCATTGACAATCAGCAGATGGCATTGCGTGGTCTAGCGCTCACAGCGAGCAGAGTTGGATTTATCGTGCTACGGTCGTACGACCCGTCATACAACAGTGAGGGCCTGGCTTTAAGGAAACCATTTTGATTACCTACTGAGAAGCTTAGCAACAAAAAACAAATTGGCTGTCAGTTTCACAGTGTTCGTTGGTTTGGCCTGGTTTCCATAAAATCGCTACACTGTTGCACAGCATTTTCGGTGCATTCCTTGAACTGCGTAGCAGTCCTTGACGTAATTGGGAAGGCTCCCCGATTCGACTGACCAATCAGCATCACCGAAAGCTGTTGGCGATAGCGTGTAGCAATTGTATGGAAGCCAAGCTTTATAATTGGTCATGTGATATATCACCTGAGAAAATATGAAAGGCTTCTTCATTGGGATCATGGTGGTCTCTATTTTTTCTTTTGATTTATTTTATTTTTTTGTAAATTCTTTATAGATTATGGATATTTTTCAGGTTTTCTTGAAAGCTTTATAATTGGTCATGTGATATATCACCTGAGAAAATATGAAAGGCTTCTTCATTGGGATCATGGTGGTCTCTATTTTTTCTTTTGATTTATTTTATTTTTTTGTAAATTCTGTTATAGATTATGGATATTTTTCAGGTTTTCTTGATTTTTAGAATTATTCTTTGTTTTTGAAGTTTTACCATAAATCAACATTGAGCATTTGATTAAAAAAAAAAGAAAAAGGAATATGTTTCCTGTACTCAGTTCATCACCTGTTTACTGTTCAATCATATTACTCGAATGAAATGAAGTCGTTCAAAATACTCCAATCAAAATGCATTAACTTTAATCACTAATCTCTCTTCTATTGACTTCTTTTTAATTATTATCTACAATTTACATTTATATTATATAAAACATGGACATTTCTTATAAGTAAACCAATAAATATACACATACTGTACTTATTTATTTATTTATTTTATTTATTTATAAACAAACCAACAGCAAAAACAAAAATCATCACTTACAGGATTGCTAAAAAAACATGAAACAGTACAGACGAGTTTCAAGATAAACATGTGTGTTTGTTTTTTTTTTGTATGTTTTTTTAGAAGACTTTCCATGTTTCATACATTACAGAAACCAGAAATAGTATTTTTTTTTAATTGTATTTTTTATTTTATTTTATGGGTTTTTGTGATTCAGTCTGGAACACAGTGTGCCTTTGAATTAAGCGTGCTATCCAGTATTTGTATATATTTTTGGTTTACTTAACAAGACTTTTCCATGTTTCCATTGCATCACAGAAACCAGAAATAGTATTTTTTTTTAAATTGAATTGTTTATTTTATTTTGTGGGATTTTGTGATTCAATCTGGACCACAGTATGCCTTTGAATTAAGTGTGCTATCCAGAATGAAGAAAGATGATTATGTATTGAATCATAGTCAGTAGCCACATCATCACTATTATCATTATTATCATGGCCATCATCATAATCATCAAAAATCATGATCATATCATCATCATCATCTAAAATATGTATTAGTTTGCATGAACCTCCTTTATTTAAAGAAACATTTTTATGGATTTTCTGTGATTTATGATGACATTTCAACATTTTATTGTTTTAGTGATTTAAGGGATTTTGTTAAAAATTGAGTTTTACCACAACGATAGTGAAATAATGATAGTATACTTATCTTCTTCTTTTTTGCGCATTGCTTTAAGTTCTTTTGCATTTCACAACATCCAATAGAAATTTAAGGTTACATTAGTTGATAAACATACCATATTTTTCAGGACAAGGACTTTGGGAAGGGTAAACTGCCGAACCAGAATCTGAACCCCCCAGCCGAGGTTTCAACAACCATTAAGCCTTATCAGAAGTACACCTTGGATAAAGCATACAAAGGCGAAGATATATTCTGGGGTATACTTCCCAAAGCTGGGTCTGTTGTTAGATTCATCTTCAACCCACCTATCAAAATTCAAAGGTAAACTTCACAATTGTGTAATTTATATATTTAATAGGATTTATATTTATATAGCACACATTTCCTTTTTCCTCCGGTCATTGGATGCAGCATCAATCATACATAACTTGCCACTCCTTCACTCCCTGGGGAGTATTCGTGGTTATGCGTGTAGTTCAGCTCTACTAATTATATTTTGAATCATTCACCTCCTACCAGGTACCCATTTATACTTCAGGGTGAAGAGAGGCAAATGCAGATAAAGTGTCTTGCCGAGGGACACAAGCAGTGTGACGAGCATTGATCCTTGACCTACTGATTGAAAGCCCAACTCTCTTTACATTGTGCCACACGCTTCTACAGCTCTGTTTCCATAGAAACGCTCACCCTATTGCCGTCCAGTAGTTTGAACCTCAGGGGCGGATACAGGATTTAGCATAAGGGGGGGGGGCGCCAAATAAAGATGGACGACCAGCCAAGCACCGAGGGCATGGGCAGATGCAGCCTGCCAGAAAAAAGAGGGTGGGGTAATCTGCGAGCGAAGCAAGCAGCCTTAGGCTGGGCTCCAGGGGCAGAGCCCCTGGTGGGGCGAAGCCCCCTTGAAGCCCAGCACATTTGAGGAATATGAGGTTGTATTGAGTCGATTTTGACTATCTAGCATGGTAGTTTTCAGTAACAAATAAATTAAAAAAAATAATAGGTGTATGTCTTTTAAAAGAAATTTTAATATACAGGGTACCTNNNGTACCTGCAAAATGCAACTATGACATGTGTCATTAAATTAGTAATAATTCATCTACTCACAACATAATCTTTGACAACATACAAAGGCTCATAAATGTACACCATTTCAAAAGAGAAATTTCACTTCTAGAAAACATGATGAAGTTTCTCAGCCACATTGAACATAAAAATCAACAAAACAACAAAATCCGCTACTGTATATTAACACTGAGTAAATTATAAGTGTTCTATTTCTCACCAAGTGGATTTATGAATAGCATTCTCCTAGGGTGTTTTTGGTAGGAAAAGAAGATTTAAACACTGTGGGGGAGGGGGCCATGTGCGGTTTTATTTATTACAAACATATTCTTTCACCATCAATACACATTGAGGCCCTTCTTTTAGGTTAAAACGATCTATCTTAAATTTTTCTTTCTTGAGTTTGGGACTATTATGTGTTTAAATTACTTAAAAGGATAACCCTAAAAAACCCTAGTAAATGCGTGCGAAGCGTGCAAAAGGTTTTTGTGTTAATTAATTCTAATTTCGTCGGAATTGATCCCAAATCCCTAAAATGTGCAATTTTTAGGGGAAATTGGCCTATTGTGACAAGAAATGCGCGCAAAGCGTGCAAAATTTGAGGATTTTAGGACCCCCCCCCCCCCGTTACGCCACTGTTTCATGTCAATTAGAGACAACATGATTGTACAATTTCATACAGTATATCTTTTAAATTACACAATTAAACCAGGTACTGTACTTGAAAACAAGGAAGCAAAACTTACACGTCAAAAGTGTCAAATGTTGCCTACACAAAAACTGTACTTTATTAAAAGAGTAAATCTACTAAAGGGGTGTCATCAATGGAGATATGCACACATATGAGTGTACTGTGATCACTGTGCATGGGGTTGTCTGCTGACCTCGATAGAGAGTGATTGATTGCACAAAGGTTTCTATGCTGGTGCATCTGCGCTAAAACTGTCTTTGTAGCTATGCATTGCGCGATATGAATCAACCTTTCAATATGAAATCAACCTTTCTATGGAATTGTGTATCCATTCAATTATCTCAAAAATTTTTTAAATTTTTTTTTTGTGATATAAGAGGGGGCACGCGTTGCAGGCACCCCCCCCCCCCACCTCTAAATCCTCCCATGAACCTGGTCCAATTTATTTGATTGCGTTGCAGACAAATAGGGTTGCCTTCCAATTGCGTCAGGGCAGCTACAGTAGCAATGCACCCAGATTCGTCTGCACACAATCAGCAACTTTGAACCAGGTTCAACCTCCCCGAATGTCGCCGATAGGGTGAGCTATTCTATGGAAGTGAGCTTGGAAAGTCTTCACCCACAATTTTGGGGTGGATTTGTTGTAATGTTTTCTAATCAAAATTTTCCAAATGGCAGACTTCTTAAATTAGAAAGTTTTGAAATTCATTTAAGATATATTAGTAGTGTAATATTTGTATAGGGATATAAATAATTTATGCAAAGTTTTGTTTTTTTCTTTTAAATTTCAGGTTTCGCTTTATAATAAGTAGCATTTTCAGAGGACAATATGTTTTTAAACAAGGTTTAAAGATAAAGATAAAAATTAATGTAAATTTAGGATATAGTGGTGGAATACTGTAATAAGGATAATTTATACAGAGTTTCGTTTTTTTTCCTGAATTTCAGTTATCGTTTTATAAGTGGGAATGCGGACCATCCTGGGGATATATTTACCAATACTACTGTTGAAGTTATGCCAAGTTATCAGCAGCAGAAGAAAGAAGGTTTACTAGAAACCAATGAAGATTCTAAATTAAAACATACAAAAGATGGGTATATTCAGATAGGTATGCCATAAAATGTACTTAAAACTGATAAGAAATGTTTTACAGTATTTATGTATTTAAAAAAAATTATTGTTGATTTTTTCTTGTTTTTATTGTGCCTACACACTTGCTAGTACAGTAAAAACGTCCATTTTATGAACATTGATTTTACAAATAGTCGCTTTTACGAATGGTCTTTGCCCCTGATGACGTCAACATCGACCAATTATTACCCTAAAAATAGTCCAATTTTGCACGTTTTACAAGTTTCAGTTTCAGTTTATTTATTAGACCAACAAGGTTGGGGGCAGCTTAAGCAAACAAATCACTATAACTTTTTCAAGTCAGCTGCCCCCTCATACAATTCAATAAAAAGACAAAATTACAATTTTAAACATCAAAAGTGAAATATTAAAAAAATAATGTAAAATAAAGATACAGAGCTAAAATTAAGTGAAAAAAAAAACAAAGAAAAAGGCAAAAATTTCATAATACAACTGTTGTATAGTGTGAAAATGGGAATGTAGGGAGTTTAAAAAGGATCCAAGTGACTCACAGGTCAACACATCTTTAAGGCTATCAGGCAAATTTGACCAAATTCTAGGAAAAAGTACAATAACAGAATTGTGATGAACTACATTGCGAGAATGCAGATGATTAAAAGTCAAAGTGGTTTGATGTCTAGTGTTAATTCATATATATTCTTTTATAATAGAACAGTCAATATAACCAAAGAGGCATTTACAAACAAAAGAAATTAAAATCTGTTTTTGGCAGCATTCAAGCGACAAAAGCTTATTGGATTTCAATCTAATATCATATGGGATTTCCCCTCTACCAACTCTCATGATTCTACGAGTGACATATTTTTGGATGCGCTCTAAGCGAATACATTGTTTTAGTCTGAGCGAGGTAATACCAAAGACTTGTATAGAGTGAGTAGAGTTTGGCTTGAGGCAAATCCGGCAATGAAAAATATCAAGCCTAATAACTTATTATATTTAATGGCAATAGTATCAACGTGGGCATTCCATGTAAGTTTATCATCAATTGTAAAACCCAAGTACTTATAGTATTTAAAGTGATAATGTATATTTTTCTTAATAAAATTAAGTTTGTTGTATTTATTTATTAATAGTTTAATCTTTGCTTACATTTCTGGTATAATAATCACTATATTAATGTAATAAACCTAACTAGAACAACAAACTACCAACACAGTGTTGTCGGATTGAGAGTGTTTCAGCAACTGATTGATATCCTAAATGTTAGATTGCAATTGCGAAATGCATGTAAACAATACAATGCAGCGATCTAACAACTAGCAAGAACACGATAGAAAGGGCCATAAAACATACAGATGTTTGAATCGAAGTTAAAATAATATTTTGTTAAGTGGAAGAATGCCAGTGATTAAAATACTTTGGTTTTTATCAAAGATAAATTCTGGGTTCATGCTACGCTGTCAGCCTATCCACGCTCAATGGCAGGGGATAGCTGGGCCTAGGTATTGAAAACTAACACCCAATTTAGTTTACAAATTTTTCAATTTACGAACACCCCTTGGTACCAAGGGGTACATGAAATGGACGTCTTACTGTACTTTGTTTTAGCCAGAGCTGGAAACAGTATCTAGCACAATCATTGTACTTTGCCCGGTGTATCAGATGGCATGATGAAAATGATGCAAATAGATGTTAATGTTGTTGTGTGTAGTGTGTAGTAGTTGTAGAATTAGCATTATCCAGGGCCACGACGAGGACAATCCTACCATGACACCATTTTTTCTTGTTAAAAACTGAGCATGTCTGAGATTAATGCATCATCAAATGCACTAAAGCTTGTGGCACCTCAAACTGTGTTAAAAGCAGGGGTTGTTTTGAAAGGGGTATCTATTTGTGAGGGGTGCCCTCCCCCACCCTCATGGTACAAAAATGAATGCATTCAATTATTTTTGCTTGGAGAATTGTTTGCTTGGTGTCTTTGATATTTATCTAAATTGCTGCGGCACAAATATATTATTATTGTGTTAAAAGCAGGGGTTGGTTTGGAAGGGTGTCTATTTGTGAGGGAGTTCCATCTCCACTCTCACGGTTGAAAAACAGCAATCCCCAACCAATGCATTCATTACTTAAGCCTGAATTATTGTTTGCTGTTGCCTTTGATATTTTTCTAAATTGGTGCGGCGCAAATCTCTGCTTTTGTTTGAACCAACACAACAGTTTCTCGGTAAATAATGACTATTGTTATTGATTGTAAATTTCAGGTACTTTCAAAGATGGTAAAATTATGGGAGAAATGGATAAAAAGATTGATAAAGTTCAAGAAATCCAACTAAGAGTACAAAGCAATGCAAAAGCATGGGTCATCTTAAGTGATGTAAGTAGTCTATATATTCTTTCATTTAGGTCTAATTTCATTTTTTTTCCATTCATTATCTGCACAATCACATCAAGGACGCAGATCTGTTTTGAAAGGTTGGGGGACAGCCCTTAGTCCTCAGCCACACCCACACCATGGTTGAGGCTGAGGTGCGAACATTTGAGGAAATGTTACTTCTAGATGGCTGAAAATGACACTCTATTAATAGTGAATTCATCATCAAGTACTCTGGCTGTACAGCCCTCTTTCGTTAAAACCTGGGTCATTATATGCATTTCATTACAATAATTTTCAGGTATTTTCCATTGGGCTGAGGAGGTATTCCATGGATGACCTGGAGTAATAATGACATAGAGGCAGTTTATTACCATGAAATATAATTGAATAAGTACTGTATACCAGTATGTGCTACATAAATGAGCATTATGATTAGTCATTTAAACTAATCAATTTATCATATTGTTTATTTTCAGATACGCATAGTACAGGCAAAGAAGAGGTGACCTAAGCCGATGGAAGGTGACCTAGGCCATTTTTGTCTAGAGTATAGGATATATATTTCCATTCCAGTTGTAATTTCATCTTTAAAAATATAATGTATATAATAACAAATTAATTTTTTTCCTAATAAATTATAGTGTAATCATGATCAATGCTTCAACATTTTTATAAAATGTTTGCAGCTATGCTTGAAGGTAAATGGTGTTGGAATTAAGACATGATTAATAGTGGAGTTGGGGTTGGTATTTTTGGTATTTTTTTTATCTAATATAATAGGAAATTTTAAACAATATTTATCAAATTGAAATTGCAACATAATCTATCTTGGTTAAAAATGACAGTCTCACATTTAATCCAGTGAGCAACATGCATTATGTTACATGCACAGTCTAATCCAATGAGCAGCATGCATTATGTCACATGCACAATTTAATCCAATGAGCAATGTGCATTATGTCACATGCACAATTTGATCCAATAAGCAATGTGCATTATGTCACATGTACAAATACATCCCATGAGCAATGTATGCACAATCTAATACAATGAGCAACGCGCATTATGTCACATGTACAGTCTAATACAATGAGCAACGCGCATTGTCACATGCACAGTCTAATCCAATGAACGACGTGCATTGTCACATGCACAATTTTAATTCAATGAGCAACATGCTTCATGTGACATGCACAATTTTATCCAATGATCACTGTCCATGTTGAATGTATGAATAACAAAAAAGATATCTGAACATATTGAGATTGTCATTTTAAGTATTAAATTTCATTAAGGAATTGTGATTTGTTATATTCTTTTTTAATAATAAAAAATAGAATCATCTCATATTCAACAGCTTACTGTTGGTAAAAAATTATTGTACAGAATTAGCACAGCATATAGATAGGAGAAATATTATGTAATTGAATGTTGGTATTAATGTAAGGAAAATCCAAGAATTTTATCTATGTCCATATTTTTTTTTTTGGCAAGATGATATTTTGATATGACATCATCATACCCATATATGGGAAAACTTGCCATATATTTGTCTCTTAAAACATTTGCTTCATCTGCAGTAAACCAAAGAAATAAACTTGTAAACTTTTACAGCGACTAAATCCGGGTAGTCACTGTGCCCAACGGTTGTCAGCCGACAGGATTCTATGCAGAACGCAACACCAAGACTCTCGCGCAACTGATGGTTTTTAATGACGATCCGTCCAGACTGCCACCGAAAATCAACAGATGGCATCACGTTGCCTGGCGCTTACAGAGAGGGAGTTAGTTTGTCATTCGATTGACGCATGACGCAGTGAATGCCTGGGTTTAGCTGCTTGAGTACTTAATATTAATTTGTTGAATAATTTCAGTGTTAATTTTGTTAGATTATAATTGTACATTTCTGTCTTTGATCACAACACAAATGTGTACATTTACACTTACAATAAGTGTATTATTTATCAGCATTTTGATCTAAAAATTAAATCTTTATGTTTAAACACAGGTTATTGGGAATAAAGATGAACAGAGCAAATACTATATTAACAGCATAGAAAGTAATAGAATTGGTATAAGATCTAAAGTCCTTTTCAGACTCAAAACATGTGACATGCTTAAGTATGGTCAGAATAACATCACATCATGACTATATATGGGCACATCATCACTATATATGGGCATACAACAGTTCTGGAACAGGACTTTAGATTAATCATGAAACTGTGCCTGGTAGATGAGTTATCAGGGGAAAATCTAGATTATGTTTTGTTTTAGCAAAATGACTACACAAGAATATAGTACATGTTTTGAGTGGGAAAACCCAATTTTAGGTATTTATTCATTTCATTCATGTTCCAAAAAAGCAATCAAGAATCACCTTATTTAGCAATAACTGTTTTAAGTGAAATTATACAAAATAATTGTTTCTCTTTTCCTGCCTCGTTCATTTAGCGAATCTCACGTTTTTTACAATTAAAACTTTGGGTACATAATACTACTTTCCTTATCACTGCCTCCACCTTTGCAACTGACAGCTTACCAACATATAAAATAAAATATTTGTTTCTGCTGATTAGTATCTTTCTTAAATATATACATTATATCTGAATTATTCTTCAAAAACATAATTCTCCAGCTGTTCAAATTCTTCCCCCTCTGTATCCATGCCTTGGAAGAGCTGGTTAAAGCAAGGAATAGTTTGGTTGTTAAAATGGCTGTATGGATTACTGGAGGAAAGAACTTGAGAACACAACCAACAAAAATAAGTTCGGCATTTCATACATGTCATCTTGTTGCAACCATCAATTTTCTGCAAGAAAACAAGGAGTTTAATTTAAACTTTTTTGCTAATTAGGTATCTAATGACCGGCCAAATCTGCCTATGCAGAGAACGTAGCATGCCCGGCAGGATGGTCATGCATGAGTGATTCCATTCCAGCGTCGCTTCATCGCGCAAATCAAAAGCTAGATATATGTCTACAAGGTTACACAATAATCAAAGATAGACACTGTTCAATTTTCGGAAAAGGTCAAGGTCACGGAATTTCTTACCCTTCACCATAAAATAATATAATGGAATCACACCACATAGGTTTGCTGCCGATTCCATTATCTTCTTTAGGGTATACAAAAACGATGTGCCTGAATACGTCCATCATACACAGCATGTGTATTGTTGGTATTCAGTCACAAGCTGGATGTATACACTCTGTAGTGACTGCTCTACTTAATGTGTGATGCTGAGAAAGCATGTTTACCCACCCAGGCCTCAAATTTAACCAAGGCCAGTGCCTCCGGTGCCCTCCCAATTGGCTTGTATGCCCCCCAAAAAATGGCCTTACCCCTAAAACGCCCAAATTTGAGGCCTGCTCACCTGTATGTGTGCTCCACATGAAGGACACAGTTTGCTGTTGCTATGCAACCATTCTTCACTGTGAAGCTCTTCAAGAGCGCGTTGAATTGTTCGTTTCCCATAGCGATGTTCCAGGTATATTTTCTTGTTCTCATCTCCTTTCTCATACTCTTCTCGAATTTTCTGTAATTCTTCTGTGACAAGAGTTTTTATAAAGTATATTATACCAAATTGAAATATATGGAAGGAAGGGGGAGGGCTTTACATATATACTTTTACTGTATATAGTAAATAAACGAAGAGGGCTGTGGAAGCAAATATATGGAAGGAAGGGGGAGGGCTTTACATATATACTTTTACTGTATATAGTAAATAAACGAAGAGGGCTGTGGAAGCACTCACGTTTCCATAATATGAACTGAGCACAGCTTCAGATACGCATTTATATGGATGTAATTACTGTCCTTCAAAGTTAATTACAAGTTTCCTTCTCAAATGGGCACAATATCTAAAAGGCACATCAATCCGCAACCGTAACCTCCCACTAGTGTAGGTCTAATGATCAGTACTGGATTATTGTTTGTAATTGCAAAGACCATACATAATACCTTAAATACCATGAAATAAAATTTAAACTGCACCAACTGACCTTTACGCACCCTGCAAGGCGAAACCCCATGATATGTCATACGGCAGAAAAAACAAAAGGTAAGATGACATTTGGGGCATTGACCTAAACTTGAGCCCTTCTCCATTATCACTGGAGTCTGACATTGAACACGAGGGCAGTACACAATGTCATCCATGCTTTGAAGGGAAGACTCTAGAAGCAGCCGGTCATATTGGGCATACAGCTCATTGCCTACCAGACTGTGAACCTGTGAGAATGACAGTAAATTACAATAAGCCAATTCGTAGTTTTAACTGCCTAGCCTATGTTGTGTGTGTTTAATGTTTATGTTGACTGGCCTTTAATACAGGCATTTGCAGTTACACAGTCCCTTATTTTATCAGTTATGTAATATTCCATTGGAAAGTAGGGAAGGTACTCGCATAAAAATATGCAATGATTAAATTATTTCATCTAATAATAATAATATTACATAAAATAATAATAGTAATATAATAATAATAAATATAAAAATGGTTATGTAATATTCCAGTGGAAAGTATGTAATGAGAGGTTGGGAAGGTACTTGCATAACAATAACAATATTCAATGAGTAAATCATTTTATCTAATAATAGTAATATAAAATAAAATATAATAATAATAAGTCAGACTTAAGGGGAATATCTTTTGCATTATTTTCATCGTTGTTTTAATTGTTCTCTAATTTCTCCATTGTCTAAGTTCTTTTAGTAACATAATAATAATAATACTAATAATAATAAAATTATATTTAATGACATGAAATGTCTTCTTCCATAATAACCACATATATTCAGTTAACTTACTTGACAAGGTGTTGCTTGTGAGTCGCACTTTAGATTTGGGCAGGTGAGGCACTTAACGTTTCCATCTTTAATTTGTACCTCAAAATAGCTCTTCAAACACACGTTGCAGTAAACATGATTACACTCATAGAACTTCATACTCTCACTTCCAAGTTTTTCAGCGAAACAAACACTACACAGAAAATAACTTTTTTTGAATTCCTCTTGACTCTGATCTCTGTCATATTCTATAATAATTTTTAGAAGGAGTGATGGAGACGCAATATCTTGGACGGCTCTGGGGTCAACAACCTCTAACGTTCGTCCCTCTAATTTTGGTGCATGTGATTGTGGAGAATCGGGATTTACCTCAGATGATCTGGACGATTTATCTGAATTAAAGCCAAAGTTTAATTCGTGTGGAGATGTTATTTTTAGGTATGATAGAGCCTCATTGATTAGAAAATTAGACCAAGAGTACATGATGACTGTTCCTTGGTTTTCCTGCCAAATGTTATCCAACTGTGTACACAGGCAACTCAGCTGAAAAATATATTAGATAGAATGAAAATAAATCAACCATCACCCTTCTGGAAAAAAAGGACACACAGTAACAGTTCTTCTACACTATTAAATTTTCTGATACAAGTTACCTGTGATGCCCATACCACAAGTATGCCCTTTGCTGAAGATAGGTAAAGGCTTGTCCACACTATCACTTTCACTTGTGACATGCCTAAATATGGTCATGATGACATCACATCATGACCATATATAGGCACATCATGACTATATATGGGCATATAACAGTTTTTTGCCGAAGAAAATTTGATAGTTGGTGACTTGGAAACCTGGTGATGATGACATTGAACTTTCGAAGAATGTACAACTAAACTAGATACTAACCATGCTTGTTGGTAACCACTTTGATAGTAGAGTAAATGAAGGTGAATCCGTACTTGGGTAGGTCTTGGGATACTGAAAGTGAAGTACAAGTGGTGGTAGGTGTTCAACTGCAAGGCATGTTCCATCCTTCTCCTCCTTGAGTTTTCCACCTGTATTATTGCAGGTAATATTCCAATAAAAAATTATACATACTGTACTGGTAAAAATAATCTAGTACCAATAAGGATATACAATTAAGATATTAACATAAGAAGTGTCAGTCATAATGTTTCTTAGATATGTCATACTACCAGACAGTATAGCAAGGCCTGCGGCAAAAATTTGGCCTAAAAATCTGTCCACGTATTTTTTTTAGGCGTATCATCCACACATTTAAAAAACTTGATCAGTGGCGTAATGAAGGGGGCAGATTCCCCGGGTCGCCTTTAGGGGCCCAGACGCTGGGGGACAGGGGGTTGCGAAGGGCCCCGGTGGGGCTCCGGTGTCTTTACTGTTCTAAGACGTAAGTTCATGCCCTTTTTACATATTTAAATTCTAAGTATGCATCATGATTTTACGCAAAAAAAGCATACTTAATCTTAATTAAGATATCACTAATAAACATTAATTACAATAAATACCACAGACTTTGACTTAGAAATGTTATTTGTAAAAAATTTTAATTTGCTGGGGGCCGGTCCCTTGAGGCTCTGGGGCCCCTGTGAGACATCATAGCCGTTATGCCACTGAACTTGATGATGTCTCTATGATGGGTCCTAAGGTTAAGAATGGAGTAGTTAGCTGTGATAAAAACATTGTGGTGTCACAAAATTTGAAGCTAAGACATTAATTATAAAAATGCAAAGACTCTGCAGCCTCTAGGTTTGTTCTGTAAATTGTTGTACATGTATTTGGTTGATTCTTACCCAAATTTAATGCTTGTTTTGCCTGTTTATCTGATAGCTTGATGTAGAAAGGCTGTTGCGGCAGCTGCAATGGTAATGTCAATTTCCCACCTTTTTTGTCATCTGCTCGGATAAAAATTTTCTCATCTTCGTAAATACTTTGAAGAGCCAACAGCTCATCCTCCTGTTCTTCATTCCACATGATTAACTACTGATCTTGCCTAAAATAAAAAATACAAACAATCTATTTTATCTTCAAATTCAATACTTGTCAATCCAATATGATAACTACTAATTGGACCTATCTTCAATCTTGTTAAAATCTAGGCCAAGGCCTATAAATGATTCTGAGATAGTGGGAGACATATTATATTTTAATATTACACTTAACCTTCGTGCCTCCATCAGTCTACACCAGGTTAGGCCTTAGCCTAGCCCAAAGTTATTTGTCATATTAAATTTATGTCAAGAATCTCAGAATTGCTAATTGGGCATCGCTGGTAACTTCAGCACTTTCGTCCAATGTGTTTTGCTGCTTGTGTGCAATGTGTGATTGAATTTAGATGTTAAAGTTTATTTCATATTTAAGAATATTTGTTGTAATTTTTGGTCTAGGCCTAGCTCTAGCCTAGACCTATTATTACATCCTGAGTTCGAGTCTGAGTAGGCCTATCCTCATCCTGGTATGCAACTTCCTGGCCTAGGCTAGTGGGTGGAGGAAGATGTAACCATCATCAATAATCAGGTTTGGGCCTAGGGGAGGGGCCTACTACTACTAGGCCCTCTATCTAGTAGGCCACTACTAGTACAACTAGGGTACTGGCCTAGGCTAGGTAGGGCCCAGGGGCCTAGGCCTAGTATAGATAGTAATTTAAATAGTATATTAGTTAGTTGTTGTACTAGGCAAATTTGGCAGAGGGGCCTAGTAGGCCTACTTAGGCTGGTTTTTAATTAATGCAATTAAAGTAATCTAGGCCTATAGTAGTATTATTTACCGCCGTCACACACTTTATACACAATTCTACTTATCAACAAGCCAATTTTACACATTCTCCAGACGAACGCCTGAAATAGAAAAACATACTGAAACCAAGATGAAACGTACACACTTCATCAGCAGCTAGCTTATCTTCTTGATTTACGCCCTCTATGCTATAGAAACCATCACTGCTAGGAATATAAGCTTACATCCAACACTTGTTTAACTGGGCTGGCTTAGCTAAGTGGTTACTTCGCAAAACTGATATATTTGAATTCAATTTATGTAACCTTCTAACCACTGGCGCTGTCCAGTCTTTTTTTCGACCTGAAGTTTGCTATTTGATTGATGTAAATAACTTGGAGGAATTTTTTTTCGGGTCATAGTACCGTATAGGATTGGTGTAATTGATTGAAAATGAGAAAAGATAGTATTAATTATGTTCTTTTTGCTTACTGATGTGACTGATCGCGATTCGCATAGGTTCGAGATTTGGGAGCTCACATCATTTTAAGATTTTTTTTTTTTTTTAAACTTTTTTCCCAACTTTTTTTTATTTATTTTTTTTCTTCTATCCTTTTTTTTTTTTTTTTTTTTTTTTTTTTTTTTTTTTTTGGTACTATTCTGACCTGGATTTAATTTAAAATGCATTACTCCTAATTCATTCTTCATCAAATCATTCTTTTATTCAAAACGATAAAAAGTATGTAGCATAAAACCCAGGTCATGGCTTTATCAGCGCATACAACAGGGTATCACAAAGGAACAACAAACATTAAAAGTGTAAAAATAATTAATAAACATGTAGGTTTTTAAATTTTGTTTGAGAAGAGCCAAAATTATTTAGTGTTTCCGTAAAAATCACAATAAAAGTGGTACATACACTAAAGTAAAATAAAAAACAGAAAAACTGCGTAAATGTTGCCGTACCTTTGAGTAAAGCAAGGAAGCATAACAAATTATATACTTATTTTGGTGTTAGATAACAGAGTTCAAGACATTTGTAAATTTTTGGACCAAAGGTGGTCTTTAAATCGTAGGTGGTTCTTAATTGGAGAGGTGGTCTTTAATTAGAGGAAGGGAGACCTGAATAATAATAACAATCCATTCATACTTTTTACATATTTTTGGTTTTAAAGACAGTAATGGACCTTTCCGCTAAGCCCCGCCCCTTGGATATTGTTGCTAAGGTCCCACAAGGCGACAGTGTTAAAACATACGCAAACACGTGCGTTTGTAGGACAACACGTGTGTTTGTGAGACGCGCGCGTATTCCTAGCGCTGTTCTGATTAGTCAGTTGTTAAGTTTGATTGACACTCCGGAAAGGTCTATTAATATGATAGTACTTGGTAGGCCTACTTGCTCATATATATAAATAAATATGAATTATTATCCCACCATAAAACCTATATTTCACAATATTAAGAAAAAAAAATGATGTTCCGCAATATGAAGAAGGGAAAAAAATGAGGTCCCACCGAGATTTGAACTCGGATCGCGAGATTCAGAGTCTCGAGTGCTAACCGTTACACCATGGGACCGGTTGAAAACCAGCATGGATTTTATATTATTGAATCCTGGTTCTGATTTGAATTCATATAATAAGGCTTATTTCTCCCAAATTTAAGCTTGTTTTAAAGTATTCGTGAAAATACTGCATTATTATTTCTTTCGTTTATGTTATTTCAGTGTTTTCGAGTCCACAAGCGCTCTTATAATTGTTCCATTCATATTATTTCCTAATATGGCATAAGAGATATTCCACAAGTAGCCAATGAGAAAGTGTAAGCACACACAATAGCGGTCTCGCCCATAAACAATGTACAGACAACACAGTTCATGAGAGTTAGGGATTGAGTGAACGCGAAAGAAACACTCGAAAACTAACGTTTTTACCCTACCAGTGTTCGTTATTACTAATTTACAACGTGTGTAGCGTTGTTAATTTTCTGACGCTCACGCTACCGCTCCACGTGTCTCGTAAGTAGACTGAAAGTATTTTTTATAATGTAGGCCTAAGCCTTAGTAAGCCTATTTTTTAGAAAAGTAGACCGAGCCTAGGCCAGCTTGGGTACGGTAGATAGAGGCCCAGAATTGCTTTTTTTAACCAAATGTTCTCCCGCAAAGATGTCACCCACTTATTAGTACTTCGCCTTTGGATTGAGGGGCGTGTCCCAGTTTTGTGTAGCCCACCACAGAGAGAAATTGACTTCTTATAATTGTTGTACTGTACAGCTACATATTCTAGTAGTAGTGTAGGCCTACTTACAAGACGGCTAGTCGCTTACGATGGATTTCCTTTAGGCCTAGCCTTATAAATATATTATTATCATAAGGTTAGGCATTTTTTTTTGTACTAGGCCCTAGGCCTAGTTGCTAACTAATATTAATAATAATACTATAAACAACTAATTTGATGTGCGTGTATGTTGTTGACCCATTCATCCCGAGCAAAAAAAAAAAAAAAACATTATTTCTTTTTTTCTTTATTGTTTAAATCCAGGGGGACTGCTCAGGGATAAAATCCCTGGTCCTCCGCAGATCCCAGCAAAGAAAATAACAGACAGTAAAACATTTCATTAAAAAAAAATAAATCACATAAAGCTAAACTACACCCATTTTTTTTTTTAGTTAAAACTAAAAGACAATAATTCCAAAAAGAGACAGAGACATTTTGAGATTCAACGTTTTGATCTGTGTGATCATTTTCATGAATACTTGTAAGAAAATCTCACCCATCCCTATATATTTACAATATTTACAGAATTAATTAGTTAAGTAAGTAATATCAATAGATACCTTTGTTATATATCAGGGCCAAAAGCCCATGTATTTTTAATTGTTATTTTGTTTATTGTAATATTTTAGTATTTATATAGCTTCTCTTTCTTTTAGATTACAAAGTGCTTTCTTGTCCCTCGTCATTGGGTCCACATGCTTAGTTTTTTTCTGCTGTATTTTGGCACAGTAGCAGGAAACCCCACCAGCTACCCATTTATACAATGCAGATAAAGTGCCTTGCTCTTGTCCAAAATCGAGATAGGGAAACCAAACCGTTCCCGCTGAGCCAAACCGCTTCCACATAATTCGATAAATTCCCTGAATTGGGAAAGAGTGAAAGTGAGAATTCAGAACTAAATCACAATCTCAAACTCAGTGATATTTATTTCTGCATAACATACTTAGCAGAACTAATTACAGTAGCCACTGGTATGGGGGTGTGTCCTCCAACCTTCTACCACCTATATACATACATTTTTCTTAGTTTTATGGGGAAGATACCTGCCCTCCTATTCCTGGGTCTTAGGTTCAATTAGTTTGCATGACAGAATTTTTTTTCTCGTAACTATCTCCACTCCCAAGTCAATATTTATGCTTCTGGATCAACTGGCGTTCTGGCTCCGGATCATTTAATAATAATAATACTTAAGCATACAAATATAATGATACTTAACTAATCCTACTCCTTAAACTAAGCATGGTTTGGTTGTTGGCTCCAAGGAGTTCATCCGCCCTTATAATAGGGTTATACCATTCAAAAAGTAGGGGTGCATGTGCCATGGTATATCGAATGATATGATTGATGGCGCACTCCTACTTGCCCGAATGTATATATATATATATATATATATATAGTTAAATCATATATTCATATAAATATTCATTTCCATTTTTTAAAATTGATTGTAAAATTATAACGTTTAACTGATAACTTCCCAGCTGGGTCTTGGGTAAGGCCAAATAAAATAAATTACTAGTTTCTGGTCCCCTCTCGCATCTATTTTCTCTGCCTCACCAAAAATTATTATTTTAAAAAATTCCTTTATTTTACGAAAAGTACGAAAATCTGGCTAATTCACAGACATCAGTAAAATTCCTCTGTTGATCGTCCATGGTGGGGAGGGGGGAAGATGCTCAAAAAACTTCAGTTGAACTATTATAAATTAAAACTCAGTAATTATACATATGATCATGTCTCATGTTTCTTTTATTTGCTTTCAATATGTCTACTTTGTAAAAATGAAAAAGTAGTAGCTATTTCTCATTGGCCATCTTGGATTTGCCATCTCAGAGTAAAACAAAAAAGAATAAAAAAGTTCTTTCATTCTCCTTTTTTCAAAAATATTAGGATGAGAAACTAATATTTTTTTTTGTTTGGCCTAAACGCTGACACTGGTTTGAGCTATTGAGGTTGAGAGATATAGGAAATATTATTTCAATAACTTCATGGAATTATAAAAACCTTATCCAAAAATAAATCAGCTAACATATTTGTATGTGAATTAGGGACAATTATCTGTAATATACTTTTAAATAAGTTGAATCTTCCATCTTGTTGCGTAGAGGAAAAAATGGCTGATTTAATAATGATTACACCATTTTTTGTATTGGAAATTTCATATTCAACAAAAATCCTAACATATATTTATTATGAGTGAATATATAAATTGTATTGATGTATGATAAGGCTAATTTAGTAATTATTGGTGAATTCAATCATAATTTAATCTTCATTGGAAATGATCGTAACCTTGAGTAACCTCTGTGGTTGATGACTCACACCGCCCTCATACCTGCATTGAGTTGTCTTATCGCCTCATAGACAGAGTACTGTATGAGCCTATGTATTCCTGTATTAAATGTCTTGATGTCACAATGGAATGTACCATATTCACATGGGGTAACATTCCCTTAGAAATAAAATTTTATTTATTTCCATACCCATTTTAATTATGTTAAAAAAAAAGTGGAGGAAGTATGGTTGTCATGGGAATAACACCAGCGCTCATTGGAGTTGCCGATGGAGCTAAAAATGGCTTTACTCAACCATGGTTGTTCCTACAGTAGTAGCGTTACTCTATTCCATTTTTAGCTCTGATAAGGAGCTCTAACACTTGGCTGGTCGATTAATAAATATTTTTTGTATGGGTGGCAGTTAGGGCCAATAACTCTACTGCCTCTATAGCACCCTTATCGGAGCTTTTGAGATTACGAGAACTTTTTTCTTGAACGCTAACTGTTAGTGTTAGATTCAAATGATTTCAAACTACTACACACCCATCCTAGGGCACAACACTTGAATTCTCTCCTAGTGATCTCAGTATCTATACAGGAGATAATATCTTATCTATGATGGCAGGTCAAGGGTTATGGTGCATTCAACTGTCAGCCTATTTTGTTGTATACAGTAGCATTTGTTTTTGTCTGTTTTACTTTTAATCTGTTGTTTCATGGATAGACTATGGGCTGATGCTGTTTGATTTTTGTTTAGCGATGCTTATAAAGATCAAGATGGACGGATACAGTATATTTCCATCATCAGTGGATTGTTAATACTCTATGCCTACTGTCACTATATCTCTAACATGCAGTGAAGTTAATGTTGGCTTATACATTACTATAATAATATCCATGCTCAATTCAAATTTCCACCACTTAAGTACCTACCAATTAAGCACAGTATTCACTTATTAATTCATATTAATTATAGTCTGCATTTCAAGAAATTAGTACTATACTGTGAAACAAAAGATCTCTGTCCAGTCATTCGTATTCACCTAAAAAGTTTCACTGTGTAAAAGAATGCTTGTGATTCTATTAAAAGTTGTTAGTGTGTGAAGTGCTCTATCTAACAGTACCTCGTCTTGATCGATGTCCATTCGTGAAGCTGGCAGGAAACCATTTCCTGATTTTGTATTACAGTAAGTACTATACTATATAGTGTATTATTCGTTTAATAAATTTGCTAATATCCCGAAATGTTAACTGTGTTCATTTTTATTTTGATTAACTTCATATTGTTATCAACTGTGTTCATTTTTATTTTGATTAACTTCATATTTGTATAAGCCTATATTTTTTGTTTACTTTTTATAGATGATTAGCACCGGAAAAGTACTCATCTTGATTTTTTGCCAGAAATAAATTAAAGTATAACCACACTGTTAAATCCAATGCAAGAATACTTTTCATGTAATATGCATAATTTTCTTAGAATACCAAATGTGAAAATGAGTATTTTGAACTCTGTTGGCTTAAGCCCATCCCTTCAGATGTGGAAGCATGATAAAGACCATAATGTAAGCTGAATAATGATCTCCTGAACCTGTGAACCACAACAACAGGTCGTTGTTACATTACTGATCCAACTCTCTAAATATTCTCACATTAAAACCCTATTGTTGCCTCACAGTACATTGTGGCTTTTTAAATGCTACATGGTATAAAGTAAATCTGTGTTTTGCTAAGTTTTACAAGATTATCATCATTACCATATTCCAAGCCATGCCCACATTCTGAAAAGACATCAATGTACAAAGCTTGTACTCAAAATTATTTTATTTGACCTTGTTGCAGCCTTCAAAAGAATCTGCATTGAAAAAAAGACTATTGTTATTTTAAACACATCCAGGCTCCATAAAAATCTCAAGTTCTTTGGTATGTTCTGAAAGTAACTTGCTTACTATTTCTATGCAACCATTTTATAGTGCATAAAGTACAGGCAATGCCCTGGTATTGATTTAGGCATTTAATTCCTTCCTTTGGCAAATTAGGTTTGTAGATTAGTATTCTCTTTAAAATGTTGTCGCTAAAAAAAAAATGTTCACTTTCTACCATTATTGATTGTTTGAAAAATCATACTGTAGCATTTAACACTGAGAAAAAAACTTGTTAATGGTATTTTTTGTTCCCTTTTTCATCTTCTTCTTATTTGTTTCTTCTATTCAACTTCTATACTTCTATTGGACATTTGTTGAAAGTGCATAGAGACCTAGTATTTTGCGCTACTGTATACAAGTCTACAGTCATTACCATTAGTTGTTGGATTGCTTTTCTTCAGTTTGAACTCCATTTCTTACACACACAAAACTTTAAGGAAGTTTTATACTGTAATATAGTTTTAGTACTGTACAATATGGACCATTGGCATTGGTTTATTGTATGCAAAACACTTCCTGTCCTGTTAACTTGTATATGATTGTCTGCAATAGTTTTCTAAAATGTTGGCAGAGTTTTATTTATGTTTACCTCAAAGTGAAACTAGGGAACACCTTGGAAACCTGGCAATGTTGGAAAAGTTTTTATTTAGTTTTGCAGTACCTGGGAACACAGGGTGTAACTGGTGAAACACATACTTTTGGTCCACTGTGGTGCATTGGTATCTCAAATTTATAAATGGTATTAGGAATTGGAATGATAATATACCAATATATTGTTTTACGAAGGTAATAAGTAATTTCATTCCTTTTTTTAATTTGTAGATTTATGTTTGTTGATCCATATTTAGTAAATGAAATTAATCTTAACATTTAACATTGTTTATTCATTCAATTATTATTATTGTCATTATTATTATTATTATCATTATTATGAAATTATCAAATTATTATTAGTATCATTCAAAGTTATTTAGTCAGTTGACATGGTATTACTGTAGTTAGATTATGTTTTTTACATAATTCTACTGTATTCTATACACATTTTTTTTTTTTATAAGAACCAGTAAAATTTTGCTCAGACTCAATTTTCTTTTCATTTGCTGACTTCAGGCTCAAAATGTTCTTACTTTGTTCTTATTTTTTAACATTGTTTATTCATTCAATTATTATTATTGTCATTATTATTATTATCATTATTATGAAATTATCAAATTATTAGTATCATTCAAAGTTATCTAGTCAGTTGCCATGGTATTACTGTAGTTAGATTATGTTTTGTACATAATTCTACTGTATTCTATACACATTTTTTTTTTATAAGAACCAGTAAAATTTTGCCCAGACTCAATTTTCTTTTCATTTGCTGACTTCAGGCTCAAAATGTTCTTATTTTTGTACACACTTTTCAAACATAGAAAATTATTATCTACAGCGTTATATTACTGTACTGTGTTATAGAGTGTATTACATAGTCACACCTAATGCAAATAATGTACAGATACAGCAAGATATGTTGGTTTTTCTATATAAATTTTTTAAAAAAACCTCATTTGACATTTTACCTTAGGTCTCAATCAAGTAAGGTGTATCTCATGAAAACAAAAAAAGTGATTATTATTCAGGTTGAAAGGTCTTAAATTGTTGCTGCTACTTGTTGTCATGGTAACTAGATACTATACAATGTCTCCTTTGAGAAGCACTAAGATTCATTATATGAGGGTACTGGAAAAATGCTTCCACTGCTAGAAAATCTAAAAGCTGAAATAGTGGTAGTGAAAGCAAAACAACAGGGGAAACCAGTGAGGCTAAGTAACAAAAATCCTTTTTCCCCCTCCTGGGTTTTTCAAAAAGTTGGTGAGGGAGGCACTTATTATTTAATATTTGTTATTTTTCACAGTTCGTCAAAATATGCCGAAGAATGTTCTCTGCGTAGCAATATGTGTTGTAAACAATTTCTTAATAGTTTTGTCATTGCTTGTCTTGCTGTTATCATGTTCTTTGTGTTTAAAAATGCATTTGTAAACTATAAAATGTGTCAGTAATTGAAATTTTGCATTTTCGATGTAAAAAACATTTTAAAAATAATAAAAAAAACAAAAATAAATGGATGCAGGCCCAAAACAATGGTGAGGGAGTGGATGGGAAACAAGGAATTTTTGTTATTTGTCCTAATTTGCAAAATGAAGAGTATCTGGAAAAAAAAGAAGTTTCTGACCACTAGACTGAAGTTAATTGAATTGATAATATTTGAATATGATAAAATTATTATCAGTGGCTGTGCCAGAGATTCTATTATGAGGGTTAAAATGTCCCAGACTGGGGTCCAAGACAGGACATCCAAGGCTCCCATCGGGACATTCAAGTTTTCCGGCCCAATAAGCGGTCCAAACCCTCCCCCTCCCCTGGGAGTACGCTACTCCAGATGATCAGAAGTGATATACCTTAAGACTGAGAAAATACATTTTCCAAAGCAATATTCCCAAACGAAATGATTGACTTCTGCCTAACTTGTGGGGTGGGGATGTCCAAAGTTCCTCTATGGGAATTCACATGCTCCTTCGCCCCCACTGGTCATGCTTCCATGTGTTGCATAAATTTTGCGATGTTGCTTAATGGAAGATAGATTAATGTTTTATGGGAATTGTTTTGGATTGAATTACCTGGAAGTTATCTTCCAGTTAGTTTTCAACTTCATTTCAATTGTACTTTTTATCTACCACCTACCATGCTGTTGAGAGAGGCTTAATCATTATTGGATTAAGACATAGATTTGCCAAGTGCTGGTAGAAAAATCTCAGATTCTCAAGGAGCATTCTTGATCTAGGCTAGTATAAAGATGACCTTTAATTACTGTACTTAAACATTAGGGGATAATCCTTAAGAATTCTTGGAAGCGTTTTTAAATTTTACTGTTTATTGCAGGGACATAGGCTGCTTTCGGGCTGGAGGAGGGTGGTGGTGAGAAAAATTGAGGAGAATGCAAAACTAAATCCCTATTCCAATGAAAACTTTATATGTTTGGTTTTTAGTAACCCACTAATGGAATTATGTGTCCGCAGCCTACCCCCATGTATTGACAACACAATATTTAAGTAGTACGCATGGTAATGGAAGGCTCCTCAATAATATTAATGGTTAATGATTTTAATATTTCAGTAGGGTAAATGATGTTAATGGTGTAAAGTGCAAAATGTCTGAGATTTAGTGCACTTAACATTAACTAAAATTTATAAGTCTGTTACTAAATTTGTATTAATTTAATGGAGTGATGGCTCCCCATCAGACACTGACATGAAAAAGAAGCTACATCCACCAGAATAGACTGAGTGAAGTGATGGCTTGATTGTTAAAGTCAGGCTCCGGAGGAAAACAAATTTTTGATATGTTGCAGAACTGATTTTTCTAAGACAGAAAAAAGTTGTTTGACGAAAAACTGGGGAACGGTGAATGAGATACAGATTTTTTAATATTTAAAAACTGAGGGAAAAAGGGGCGTAACTGTTCATTTTTACACCTTATTCCCCCAGTTTTTAAATATTAAAAAATCTGTATCTCATTCACCGTTCCCCCGGTTTTTCGTCAAACAACTTTTTTCTGTCTTGGAAAAATCAGTTCTACAACATATCAAAAAATGTTTTTCCTCTGGAGCCTGACTTTAAGATTGCCTTCAAATACGAAATAGGAATGATGAAAACTATGATATCTTTGAAATTGAAGCGTGAACATTAAAATCAAATAAAAGTTATATTTTTTTCCTTTGTAATACAAATTGAACAGTGGAATAAATTGACAAATTTTCAAAAGTAATAAACAAGATATGGGATTCGGATAATAAATTATAATGTTTTTTTTATTATATGGAATTATATGAAAATAATAATGAAAGTATTATGCTGTACAGAATATTGATAAGTAGTGAAGAAATAAATTTACACTTAAGGTATACAGTATAACTGATATTTATAGAAGAATCCTGGACACAAAATATAGAAAAATAACTGGACACAAAAATTGAGGTAATGTCAAAAAAAAGTGTGGATTTATTCCCAAGCAATGTATGTAGTAGGCCTACGGTATTGTAATAGCTATAATAACTCCATCCACAATATCTGTTTATACATTAAATTCAATTACACTTATTGTATAAGAATGCAATACTAAGAAATTATTATAATATAAATGGACTAAATCCTTTTGAAAACATGAGATACTAGTACCACACCAGGCCAATAATTATTATTACAGTATATTTAGAATAGGCCTGTGGGTTTCAATGCCTTAGTATTTAGTGAATGATGCATGTCTTTCCTCCGTGTTGGCATTAAGGTAGTCTCTACACTACACTGAATCACAGCATTGCCACGATTGTTTAAATACTATTGACGTTACTCCGGATAGGAATGCTAAATGCAATCCTTCTCTCTGTGAGATTTAACCTTGCTCATTGTCCCTGCTACCTCTACCATAATAAAATACTGTGCCAAAGAGCTGAGAAGGGCTGTGGTTTTTGGTTGTTTGCACACATTGTATGGGTAGTCTACCACACTGCTGTGTTGGTATGTTTTGACTGCTTAGGTCTCCACTAATTTGGTTAGTACCGTAATGTTGCTGTTGTAAGGGTCTAGAGTAGGTTGTTTATATCAGGATAAAAATAAAGTAAAGGCGTCAGTCATGTTTCCGGCCTACTGCAATTATAAAAAGTGAAACATTTTTATTATAGTTTAGAATAATTGTGAAATATAGGTTTTTCTATAGTTTTTCTAGAGTTTTGGCTTTTGGATTTTATATGCATTTTATTGTTTTTAATGTTGGATGTTTTATATGTTTTTGTACAGTATGTATCAATTCAACCATTGGCTGCCATCCACAATTGTGTTGAATACACCTGAATGAATTATTCAATTTTAATAAAGGGACATTTGAATTTGGAATTGATGTAGACTAGATGATGTTTAAATGATTACAGATCTTAGATAAGTTGTTATAGATTTTTAATGATACGGCACATTTGACCAAAGAATGATTTTAAATGCTGTATATCAATCATTATTTTCTCTTTATTTCACTTTTGGATGTCTTAAGATTAGGGAAGACAATTAAACAATAGTTAGTGAAGTTTTGGAAAGCAATATGGACAGTTATAATATGGACTATAATAATACATAGTTATACCAAAAAGGTCTTATACTTTCCATTGGGTCACTGAGGGTACCTCTGTGCCTTGAGTAGTGCAACTGCCAGGCTCCTAATGTTAGTGTCTGAAAGTCTTCATTATGGGTCTAGGTCCCATTGCAGTTAACTCTACTTAGCTTCTAACCTGATCGGCACTGGTCTTTATAAGGCCCCTCATGACATTATCAAAATTGTTTTTACATTATTCAGACTAATTTATGATGTAGCAGTGAGCATATTGTAACATAAAGTTATTTGTTGTTGATTTTTTGTTAATCTACAGTCAAAAAATGATTTCAATTGTTTTCTAATGTTTTTCAGGGTTTGACAACCACAATTGTTGCCTGTGTTTCATGACTGTTGGCCTACAGTTTCTGTTGCCAATACTTGAGGTGAGATTTTTAGCCAAATTTAAACTCCTGGTTAAATGTGGTGAAGACTCAAACTGTCCCGGTCTGAGTCTATGTTGTGTATGCAGTCAGTACAAAGCAGAATGCCACTTGTTTGATTCACAAAACTCTAGATGGAATTTATGGCTTGCTACATAATTTTAGTGTAACCATTGTTTACTAATGGGCTTTATTGAATGAAATATTTAGAATCTGCAGAAAAATAATAATTTCAATTCTAGACTAAATAATGTATATGGTGTCTGTCTATCAGCATTGAATGGACAGGACACCAGATTTAGTTGGGAGCTTTCGATTTGCATAACTACATGACGCAAAAACGGATTCACTCATGCATGACCATCTTGCCGGCCTGCGAAACATAGATTCAATCAAATTGTGTCCTACAGTCCAGGCAACAATGGGAACTCAACGTAATCGCATGCACAGGTGACTTCTTAGTGCCGTCATTATATTTCTATGTCCTACCACTGTCACATGCAATCGGAACTCCTTAGTGACACTAAACTACAACAGGTCAAAGTCTAAAGTAAGTCAACAGGTCAAAACTTCACCTAAAAAACATTAAGAATTTGTAGGACATATGATATGTAATCAAATGTTATGCTAGTGGTCCAGGTTAGGTTACTATGATGGTACTGGGAAATGTTTACATGCTTGAAAATCTCATGATAGGTGAGATAGGAATAGTGAAAGCAAAACAACAATTGAAACCATGAAACACTTATGAATTTTGACGCTTATCTGAAGCCCTGTGCAGACTATCGCAGTTTGTTTGACCAAAAAAAATGTTGTATGCCCATATATAGTCATGATGTGCCTATATACAGTATGGTCATGATGTGATGTCATCATGACCATATTTAGGTATGTCACAAGCTTTTGTCAGGGCTTTAAAAAAAAGAAGTTTCTTACCAATAGTGCTAATCAGTCTTTAAACAAATGTGAATTGATGGTTACCTTTGTTTTGCATGCTTGGTTTATAATATGTAAATGCCGACTCTGCGTCTTATGATGCAACCCGACGCGATTTGTGGTCGCATCGGGTCTGTGTGAGTTAAGCGCTGACGCGATGGTTTACTATTTCTCACGACATGATAAGATTGTCCCCTACAATGAATTTTGTCGGCTATGTCGTACAACACTGTCTGTGTTGGACTTATTATCGCAAGTGGTTTAGAACGACAGAATTAAAGTAAGCATTGTCTTTAGTAGGTACCGATGGTGAGATACTTGGTTCAGTGCGTAGCCAGGATTTTCAAATAATACGTCAAAATATCAGGTTGGACCCACTTTACGTGTAAATACAAGTAATATGTTTCTTAAAAGTTGACCTATTCTATGCAGAAATATGAAAAATGTGGACCCATTTATTTAAAATTTTACGTATTTTAAGCTTAAAAAATATAAGAAATCTGGACCCATTTTTCAAAAGTAGACTCATTTTATGCATAAAGCTGCATAATTTAGACCCATTTTTAAAAATGTAGACCCATTCTTTGTGGACCCATTAGAAAAATTGTGCGGTACTATCCCAACTGTCCCAATAGCTGGCTACGGCATTGGACCTATTGTATATTAATGAGAAGTAGAGCCACTTATGTATGTATGGATGCTTGTATGAAATGTTGCCATACATATACAGTTAAATACATTTTTCATTGTAAGAACAGCAATTTAATCTGAATAAAAAATGTTTCATTAATTTAATATTCGATAAATTTTATGATATTAACCTTAATCCATTTAGTGGTACTTTTTGTAGATGTTCTTTGGTTGGATTCTGAAGCGGACAATTTTTTTCTTAAAAGAATGAGATATATTTCATTGTTATTCAGAAGATGCTCTGGCACTCTAAAAATGTAGCACTCGTCATCTTAAAGTCAGGCTCCGGAGGAAAAAAATTTTTTGATATGTTGTAGAACTGATTTTTCTAAGACAGAAAAATGTTGTTTGACAAAAAAACTGGGGAACGGTGAACGAATTATACAGATTTTTGAATATTTAAAAACTGTGGAAAAAAGCGGCGTAACCCCCAGTTTTTAAATATTCAAAAATCTGTATCTCATTCACCGTTGCTCAGTTTTTCGTCAAACAACTTTTTTCTGTCTTAGAAAAATCAGTTCTACAACATATCAAAAATTTTTTTTCCTCCGGAGCCTGACTTTAAACTTTCAGAAAATTACACCAGAAAAAATCAAGCTGCTGTACATGCTTAAACTGGAAGGTCCACAGATTAATCTCAGATAAGAAAGTATAATACATACTCAAAGTACTGGTGACATCCTGATGATAACATAATTAATTTCAATACATGGAGTACCGTATGCATTATACATTCGTACAGGCATAAAAACAATTTATATCCACTTTAAAGAATGAAAATTTTCTTTCACAATTCCTGTGTATTCATATTGTTGTTGAATTTTCTTCACTACGCAAGTTTGTGATTGGTTTGGCAATTATTTCTAAAGCATGTGAATAGTTTAAATCTGAACAAAACCTTCTTTGTATGTAGATTTCTGAAGTCAGTGATTTGTTAAGATAACTAAAGCTATTGGATGAGTTGGCATTATTTTTCAGGGTTAGCAATGAAAATAAACATACAATACCAGGTTAAGGGTTTTAAAATAGGACCTCAGTTTATATGTTTACAAATTATGTTGTTCAACAGAGGATCTCACAGAGTAAATTTTGCCATGTGGTGATGGTCTCTGTATAAGGGAGAGACAATCCCCTTCTCAATAACAGAGTTTAATGCAGATTTATGAAGGGGAAAATCTTCTGGCAAATTCTTTTTTAGTTGCCACTGTTTTGATTTCCACTGTTTTGATTTCTGCTGTTTTGATTTCTGCTGTTTTGATTTAATCTTAACAAAAACTGGGGTCTCTGGGAATTCTGGGAGGTCAGCAGTGGGGGGTCCAAGGATCCAAAATAAATGGGGCCTGGGAGGGACTTTCACAGATGCAGGTTCTTATGGCACCTCTAGATGGCCAGAAATGGCACTCTCAAACTTCAATTTTTAATGTAATTTTCTTTTTTTTTTTGCCATTTGTTTATTTATAATTTTGAAAACTTTAGGGAAATGGCTTATTTTTCAGGAGACTCTTGCTTGCTTGCGGGAATGCAGGAGGCCATGATTTCTGGGGTACCCCTGTCTGTGCCAGAAGCCCTAGCTGCAAAAACAATTATAATGCATTCAAAATCTTCATGGTTCTGAAAAGTTGAAGAATTTGTCCTCCATTTTTAAACCATAAAAACTCTGTAATAATAATAATAATAATTTTCAAATTTGTAATTAAATTAGTTGTAATTAAATTAGTTGTATTTGTGCAAGGGGTTGGAATACCGTTGCGGACAATAACTCACCAGACAATAGCCTATTTGGACAATCGCCTACTGTACCAATTAAGAGGATAATTCTACTTCATAGTGGAATCATGGACTACTTCATTTACCTAGGCCAAAGGTCACATACTTCAGTGAATTCTATTGCTTTCAGATTAAAGATGTTTTATTTACTGAGTATTATGAAACTTTAGTGGTTCTGTGTTTTAGGAAAATGAGGTTATAGAGTCATGGATATTTTTTAGACTAGAGTGGTATTTAGCTAGGTGCTACTGTATTTCTACCACCAAATATGATTACGTAATTTGAAATTAATTGAATCAATTTAGCAAATACAATGTTACTGTAGGAAATAATAAACTGTACTATAAAAATAAATAGAATTGTTTTCATGAGTACTGTAGTAGATTTCATAACCTTTGTTTTTTCAATGCCCAAAAACTAATATTAATAATGAGGTTAGTTTGGAAACAGCACCCCAATATCAGTGATGTTTTCTGCACTTTGAATTCTCTTTGAAGTCGAATGTGAATTTAGTCAACAGAGCATCGTTCAATCATTATTTAAATTTGGTCAATGTTTTGTAATATCATCATTTCAATCGTTTTTCAACCAACTTTTATAAACATAAAGATATTAGAATCAATATTCCATATGTATGCATTTAGGTTAGTCAAGTCCCTACAGCCTGTAAAAATCAACAAGTGTTTTAAAAACGCTTCTAAATAATTTGCATATTAGGTCAGCTGTGAATGAGCTTGACCTCCTAATGTAGCAACATAGGGTGCCAAGACCACATGGGCAGGCAAGAATATTTTTAAACTGGTAAGTCATTTTGTGTACTGTAACTATCACCAGCTACTCAAAGTCCTGTAGATAACGATATCTTTTATTTAATATGTGACTATAAAATATCACTGTCAGCTCATAAATGCTTACTGAAACACATTTTTTATTGCATATTTCTGATAAAGAATGTGGTAGGTACAGTATTGGGTTTTCTGAAAATGTTGGCAACATTTTTGTTTTTACTGTCTATCTTGAATGAAGCCAATGTGCTGCATTTGGAACCAAGATTAATTTCTCATAAAAAATAATTGCCTCCTCAAATTGTAAAAGTATACAGTACTTAATTACTGTATGTGTTGCATGGTCGGGCTTTATACCATTGAAGTACTGTAGTCAGTACTTAGTAGGTCTGCCAGTGCCAAGCAACTATAGTTTTAATCCACAGGAAATATTTGAAGGGTAGGAACAGGATTTTAAGCAATGCTGATTGGTTTACCTTGACCTTTGTTGCGTTTAAACAATTCTGATGATGTCAACATTTAGACAAATCTTTCATTTTAGGAATTGAGGAATGTGGAACATTGGATTAGATTTGTAATTCTAGGATATTGATACAGCTTTTACAAGTTGTTTAAAGATTGGGTGAATTTTATAAAATGAAGTTTAACACATATCATTCTTCTGTACACTGTAGCTTGGCATTTCTTTCAAGTTACTTCAATCTGTGTGAATGTTTTGTTCTACCAGCAGCTTACTAACTGAAGTCTGTCAGACTATCAAGTTTTAGTTAATAAAAACATGTGACATGTTTAAATATTGTCATGATGACATCACATCATAACCAT